GCAGTATAAATAAACCCACACTTCCCACGGTCAATAGTATTAGCACTCACAATGTGCGAAATAGCACCATGGCACACACTGATAACCGACGTCACAGCAATGCCACTCCCAACAGTACAAATGGCAATAGTCAGAACTCGACCACCAACAACTCAGGGTATTCACAGTATGGCACACAAATAAATTTTGATCGGATATATGGTACAAGTCTGCTGGGAACTAACCTACAATGCAGTACACACTAAACCCATACAAGGACACAACTAGTACCAAACAATAGCTGGATTGATAAACCATGGTCATCACAAGGTTCCAATCATTTTTTATCCCCTGCGTCCCTGCCAGTGTTGAAAAAGCAGCTGGTAGGGATGTTAACACTCCTAAACCACTAGTGCTAGCTCCCCCCTTGCATGAATACAGGAACAGTCTAGTGCACCCGCATCCATTAAGCACACTTGATACATGCACAAGTTTAGGTCAAATAAAGATCCCTACCTACGTTTTCAGCTTAACTAAAAATAAAAATGCCTTAGCCTATAGCAAATCCAGTACTCCAATGCCTAATTCTTCACCAAAAATAGCACGCACTAACTTGATAGACATAGGTGAGCATGATGTTGAAACTCCTCTTAACATAGGGTCGTCATTGTCAAACGGTACTACTGGGTGCTGAACCATATGTGGTGAATTGAGTCTTTTCGTTCTGAAGTAATGCTAGTTAGTGCTGAATATGAGCTGAGAGGGCAGGAACAACGCCGATTAGCAAACTCAGTAGGTTCCGATATCCTGCCGGAAATGCTTAGAAAAAACAACAAGGTGCTGAATTAGTGCCAGTCATGCTGAAAACCAGTACTGAGTTCTAGTCTGTACCATTAAATAATCCATTTCAGAACAGATTCAGAACCTACTCACTATAGAACGTTAGAATTATTTCAAAATTTGTGAGATTTAATTCAGCATTATGGTAAGTTTTAGATTCTGCACTTCTTGCATAGATTTTATGCTCATCAAGTGGTCATTTAACAATTCCTGGGTGTTGCAATTAAACTAAAATCATAACTTGTAATTCCGAGAATTGTTGTCATCTCCATTGGCAACAGTTCACAATCTACTGAGTTTACGCAACCACAATGCCCGTTTCTCTCCTTACTGAGGAAACATTAACTTGGTTTTAAGAGTAGACAGTACGTTATTTTGTGAGTTTCATGAATTCTGCAGGTTGCATGCTGTTCACTTAGTACTGAAACTAAAGTATGAGGGGACATATATTTCCAAGCAAGATGTGATACAAGGCTCATTTCTACAACTCTTCTTTATATTAGTTCAATTCCATCTTGCATATATTAATAGAAATTGCCTTTCATTGACCTTGGGTACTTACCAGAGGACAGTTGCGTCAACTTGGAGTTTAACGATGATATTGATCACCTTAGTTGTGAGAAGTGACCATTGAATTTGGGAGATATGTGGCGGACCTTAGATTCTGCTAGCTTCATATCCCAAATTCGAATAGAAATAAAAAATACAAAATCCGTAAAGTTACTGGAAGAATATATTAAAATTTGTTACTTGGGTTATTCCTAGGTCCAAATCCACAATTAACTTACTAGACTCCAGAAGCATTGTGCGAGGGCTGCTCCAATCTTAATTCTCCAATATCGATATTGCTAGAGGTCGACCAAGGTAACGCAGGAAGAAGATACGGCGTTCCTGCGAAATTTTGAAATAGGAAGTAAGTAATCAGGATTGGTCGATGGCCGTTGAGATGGTGGAGAAGGCGGAGAGATGTAGGCAGAACTATATTTTCCATTCAAAACACGAGTTTAAGTACAAAGTACAGAGATTCCGGTTAAAACAAAGTAATGTACAATATGTTCATTCCTCACGTATTAGTTAAAGTTGGATGAGTTTATTTTTGAGGACTCTACACGGCTCCCCCTCTTAGAGGTTCGGAGGACCATTAGTACTGTCATCGTAGATGATTACATGAATACAGGCAATATAAATAATTGATGATGTTAGCAGTAATGATAACGAAAAATTACACTAACAATAATAAGGATACGAAGAAAGATCAGAATGTATGGAACGCATCCGTGTCAAAGAAAGATTAGCACACGCAAGCATGATTCAGGAATGAAAGGAAATCAAAACTTGTTATAATTTTAAATAAAAATTTATGCACGTAATAAACAATGACGTGGTCTTTAGCATTCGAGAGATTCATATATAAGGAGATTGATATATCCTTGGTGAATGCATGTGCTCGCAGTACAGTTAAAAAGCAATTAGTGATAATAATACTAATTAATGTTTATGGTTATAGTGAAATGAATGTCAACAACAATAATACTGAGAAGAACGTCTAAATAAGGTTAACGTACTTGTTCTGTCAGTCAATGAAATTAACATAGCGGGCAGGTTTACAGATCTGCCAACCACTGCGTGTCTGAACAGGGGGAAGTGTGAAGAGCGGAAGTGTAGGAGATGCATTGACTTTATCACTATTCATCGGTACAGGCGTTGCTATTGTTTCATATTCACTGTCGGTGCACGCTGGTTTCAGACGGTCAATAGAAACAGTTTCCTGTTTACCATTTCTGTTCAGTGTGAAGTATTTACCAGTGCGTTTGAGTACTGGAAAGGACCTTCTTATGGATCTTGTCAGCCTTTTATAATGGCATCGACACGAATAAATACAAATTTGCAAGTAAGTAAATTCTTGTTAACTTGGGCTTTTTGAAATGATTGGCGAGGGGCTACTGGTCGAAGCTGAAGCATTTGCTGAGTAAGACGGTTGGTTAAATCTGAGATATTTACATCAGTTGAGTCATTGGGAGGGACTAACTGACCAGACAATGTGGGGGTAGCACCATACACGAGTTGATCAGATGTACATCCCAAGTCTTCTTTGACAGTTGACCAGATACTGAGGAGAACTAATGGTACGTGTTCATTCCACTTAGATGAGTCAGCTTGTGCCATCAAAGAGCTTTCCAGTTGTCGATGATGGCTGACAATATAATAGTCAGTGATTGCGATGAATACGCTTAGCTATAATCAGTGTGTGAGCTACGGCATGGTACGTGTTTTGAAATCCAGTTGTAATTGAATAGGGACAGATTTAGTGAGAAACAGCTTGAATTGTGCATTTGGTCATAATGCTACCAATAATAATAATGAACAGTTAAAAGGTGTGACAATGATAAGACAGTATGGATAACAAACAAAGTTTGTGGCAGAAATCTCGTTTCACTCCTGTAAACCAATTTCCTGATGACAGTAGAAGGTGCCGTGTGGTAAAGAATTTCTCATGTGAATAGTAGTTCAAAGAAATCTAAGTAACTGAGCATAGTTGATTTTCTGTGTCATTAAAGCTTATTCGTCACATTGCATCGTGCCTTTTAAAAATGATGTAGGTTGAGTCCGCGAATAAAAGATGCCAATTAATATTTTTTTCCTACATAGCAAAAACTTTCTCAACTGCACTTCAAACAGTTTTCTTTATACAACAAGTTGGGAACCGTTCTGGTGTCATTAGTGATGTGATCGTGGAGATTTTCGACACTCCGATTGAAAATCTTTAGTGTCTTTCTTGTGTTTGCTTATGAATTTTGATGCTAAGCAGACTACATCAAGTAACAAGCTAATCCCTTTCTGATTTATAATTTCCCGTTGACGTTGGCCGAAGTAAGATTCTTGCAAATTCGAACACAAGACTGTCTTCTTATTCAAATGAATTACCAAAAGACGTTGACAATATGAGGCCTGTTATCTGCGTACGCAAAGCAATAGCGCCATCAACAAATACTGACTAAAATATTTCTTAAGTGCCGGCGGATTTCTACTGTTCGATCTCAAAATTACTTTGTCTAGTCGAGAGTTTCCACCACAATCATCACGTTAACAGGAAGAATACCATTTAGAATACGCCGTTTGTCGTCTATTAAAAGTGTTTTACATATACAATCACATAACGCAGAGACTATTACTGAACTTTTGACACTATTCAATGTGAAGCTGTATATAAACAGAGCCAAATCAGTCATACAAAGACAAAGACTATAACATATTACGCAGGATGTTGAAGGTTGTCAGCAGGGTAAGCAACGTGCCACCTAACCAGCTTGTTAATATTCTGGTCGACAGGCACATGGACTCATGTGAAAAATGGGCCAAATCCATTTTATCTAATTCACACCACCCTCTTCACTCACAACTCTCCCCTTGCATCTCATCAGGCAAAACCAGAAGTCCATATAGAAAACTATATGCTCGCATCAGCAAGTACAAAAACTCAACCATACCCTACTTAGCTCGTGTTCTGTGTGATAAAGAAAGCATTACGTGTGACATCTATAATTCATTAAAAAGTCAGTAGTACAACTAGATCTCGTCTTTCCAACTCATATCATTAATAGGTACAACATTTTCTTTCTTTCTTTTCCTTTTCCCTCTCTCTTTTTCTCTATTTTTTTCCGTTATGTGCTGCTTTGTTTCTTTCTCTCGTTTACGCCAGTAAATACGATAGCATATACTTTTCTAACACCTTCAAACACTGTTCAGCTTTGGCTTTACTACCGAAATGCCAATATGTTGTTGTCACAATGAACTGAGATTTCCTTTATCTACGTAGAATTCTATTTGTTGATAATGTACTAACTGGATGCAATACTGTAGTAAAAATGCTGAGAATTCCATTCTGTATCACAAGTACTGTTTTGGAATAAAGTGGACTATTATTATCATTATTATTAAATGCAGCAAGATGAAAAAATAAAGATGGATTGTGAAATAGTGTTATTTATTAGTTAAATTTGAAAAATATTATACCAAACATTTCAGAAAGTAGAAACTAAAACTACATGGTTTAGGTGAAATTGGAAACGTTTACATTAATTTGTTTTGTAATGGAAGTAAAGTGTACATTTCTCGTTGGACATCATGCAAGCGACTGAGTGAATCAGTAGTCACAACGCGAAGATAATTCGAAGCAAGCGCTAAGCGACTTCTACAAAAGAAACAAGAAATGGGTGTTGATTAGTCCACATGAATATAATAAATATAGGGGAAGATAAACAAGCTAGGAAAAGGACTACACACGCGAAGTAAGAAAAACTCAAACGGATGCAAGAGAACTGTAATAATCTAGTTAAGCAAATCAGAGTCAACGGTGTGTGAGGGTATGGATTAAACGAAATCACAAAAAAATTAATGTACATTTGAAATTCAAAATCACAAAAATTCAAAACAACAGAAAAAAACTATCAAAGAAAAAGCATTAAAAAGATAAAGAAACATTCTAAAGATTATCAAAAACGAATGAATAAAAATAACTTAAAATTAGGGATTATTCAAATTTGTTAGAAACAGACTGCGTCAGATAAAGAACAATAATCTCTATCCTCATATTCAACATATTGAAAATTCACACTCTGATGCCTATGTCTGTTGCATCTGCCTAGTCAATTTGTTTCTGTCACGTGGGTTGAAACATTTTCTCGTGAGTGTATCTCGACTATCCGTAATATTGTGATATATATTTAGTCAACACATTTTGATGTAACAGACGTTGATACTACATTCATTGGGATGAGAGAACATTTTGACTTATTTTCAATATGACAAAATTATCTATGTATATGTTGAAAGATGAGCACAAAAGTTCATCCTTGGTGTTTTCATGTTACCAGGTGTGTATTTGTGATTGCAAGGTGATATTTGTTTACTGAAAATTTCACCAGCAATTTATCGGTTGTTATACACAATAACTTTGTAAAAAAATTATTAAGATCCTTTCTCAAGCACAATGTGGCAGGCACAATAGCTTAAACTGCTAATGATGCTACTTGTCGAGAAAAAATGTGAGCACACAAATCACAGATATAGAAACACTAAAGCAATTTCAAATAACAACTCACGTTTAATACATACTGTCAAATCAATTATGGAGAAAAAATAAATGAATTGAATTATATTGGAAAGAAATAATGAAAATACGAAATTATTCACAAGCTAATGAAAAACTTGCCAGTTCATCCTCTCTCTCACAGATCATAGGCACACAGACAATATCACTTCTTCACAATACTAGTGTGTGTCAGTGCATAATGTTATCATAATATGGTGTGCGTATCCAGATCAGTTGTGTACACGTAGTGAATTTCATTCACGAATGATGAAGCGAAACATTCTACCCAGAAACCATTTCCATCCTCAGAGTCCATGTGATGATCGTATCTATTTGAGAATGGCTTGATAGAACAGACATTGATACTACATTCATTGGGATGAAAGCACATTTTGACTTATTTTTCAATATGATAAAATTATCTATGTATATGTTGAAAGATGAGCACAAAAGTTCATCCTTGGTGTGATCCTGTTATCAGGTGTATATTTGTAATTGCCTGGTGATACTTGTAAACTGTAAATTTCACCAGCAATTTATCGTTTGTTACACAAAATATCTTTGTTAAAAAAACTAGTAATATCGTTTCTCACACACCATGTGACAGGTAATATAACATGAAATCCTAGAGATTTCGTTTGTCAGCGAATATTGTGAAAACGAAATCAAATACAATCAAAAGTTCATAATTATAACTTCAAAATTTACTCTTCTTGCAATCTAGGTATATGGATAAGAGGAAAGAAAGAAATTTCATTAAATTAACTTATTACAAAGGGCATTCATGAATATACCAAATCATTCCCAAGATAATGAAAAAGCTGACAGTTCATTCTCTCTCCATCTCTCAGACCATAGGCATACAGCGTATATCACATCTTCACAATACTAGTTTGTGTCAGTGCACAATGTTTTCACAATGTGTTGCGCCTATCGAGATCAGTTGTGTACATGTAGTGAATTCCATTCACGAATGGTGAAGCGAAACATTCTGTTCGGAAACCAGTTCCGTCCTCAGACACATTGTGATGACTACTAGCATTTGTCAATTGCGTGATTGTCTACTGTCATGATGGACGAGAGATTGAAGACGAAAGAAGACGGAAACTTCTATTCTCGACTGCACGAGGTGACGTCTGAGTTTGAGAAGGACACGGCAACCTAGCAATGATTACAACCATGTGTGACAGTATGCTGACTGTGCAGTGCAACACTGGTTTAAGCTCACACTATGTGGCTGGTTCATTTGAATTCCCGTCTCCACCGAACTGACTTCCACACATCACCTGCATTTCAACCTACTGAGAGATCATGTGTTCCCTCATGGCCACTGAGACTTACGCCTACCTGAACTATTTAGAAAGGCACAGTTCGAATTTACTCAGCATGTTCCGAATGTTATTTCACACCTTATCTCTATCCTCATATTCAACATATTGAAAATTCACACTCTGATGCCTATGTCTGTTGCATCTGCCTAGTCAATTTCATTTACTCTTTCCATTTATTCATGTCAGCATTCATCAATTTGTTTGTGTCACGTGGGTTGAAACATTTTCTCGTGAGTGTATCTCGACTATCCGTAATATTGTGATGTATATTTAGTCAACACATTTTGATGGAACAGACGTTGATACTACATTCATTGGGATGAAAGCACATTTTGACTTATTTTCAACATGATAAAATTATCTATGTTTATGTTGAAGAGTGTGCACAGAGGTTCATCCTTGGTGTTTTCATGTTATCAGGTGTATATTTGTAATTGCCTGGTGATACCTGATTACTGAATCTTTCAGAAGTATCTTAAATTTTGTTTTCAATATTAACATTTTTATTGTCAAATTAGTCTGATCCTTTCTTACACAACATGTGGCAGGAAATCTTGTGTTAAATTACATTCATATAATTGATATAATGCATTCTGAAATCGGAATAATATATATGTAAATATGATAAATTTTGAAAAACTAAATTTACAATCAGTAGGATTCCTGCCGACTGAAATATGATAAAAAAAATAAAAATTCGAATTAAATAATTGTGGAAAAAGTTCATGGAAAAAGAAATCATTCGCAAACTAACGAAAAACTTGCCAGATCATTAACCCTCTCTCTCTCAGATCATAGGCATACAGCGAATATCACTTCTTCACAATACTAGTTTGTGTCAGTGCACAATGTTTTCATAAATTGTTGTGCCTATCCAGATCAGTTGTGTACACGTAGTGAATTTCATTCACGAATGATGAAGCGAAACATTCTACCCAGAAACCAGTACCATCGTCAGAGTCTATGTGATGATCGTATATATTTGAGAATGGCTTGATAAAACAGACGTTGATACTACATTCATTGGGATGAAAGCACATTTTGACTTATTTTCAATATGACAAAATTATCTATGTATATGTTGAAAGATGAGCACAAAAGTTCATCCTTGGTGTGATCCTGTTATCAGGTGTATATTTGTAATTGCATGGTGATACTTGTTTACTGAAAATTTCACCAGTAGTCTATCGGTTGTCATCAACCATCACATTGCAAAATAACCTATTTTTCAAATGCTTGTTCACAAATCATGTGGTAGGCATTATAGTGTCATCTCATAGGTATAATGGTGGTGATAAATTTTGATTAAACAAATACGTGTTTTAATGATGTTGAATCATATCAGAAATATTAACTTACACCGAGTGCATTCTAAAGTTTCGAAATAAGGAAATATTTGAAAATATAATGAATAGAATTATCCGAGAAACAATTCATGAAAATACGAAAACATTCAAAAGCTAACGAAAAACTTGCCAGTTCATTCTCTCTCTCTATCTCAGATCATAGGCATACAGCGAATATCACTTCTTCACAATACTAGTTTGTGTCAGTGCACAATGTTTTCACAATGTGTTGCGCCTATCAAGATCAGTTGTGTACACGTAGTGAATTCCATTCACGAATGATGAAGCGAAACATTCTGTTCAGAAACCATTTCCATCCTCAGAGTCTATGTGATGATTGCATCTATTTGTGATTGGCGTGATTGTCTACTGTCATGGTGGACGAGAGATTAAAGACGAAAGAAGACAGAAACTTCTATTCTCGACTGCACGAGGTGACGTCTGAGTTTGAGAAGGACACGACAACCTAGTAATGATTACAACCATGTGTGACAGTATGCTGACTGTGCAGTGCAACACTGGTTTAAGCTCACACTATGTGGCTGGTTCATTTGAATTCCCGTCTCCACCGAACTGACTTCCACACATCACCTGCATTTCAACCTACTGAGAGATCATGTGTTCCCTCATGGCCACTGAGACTTACGCCTACCTGAACTATTTAGAAAGGCACAGTTCGAATTTACTCAGCATGTTCCGAATGTTATTTCACACCTTATCTCTATCCTCATATTCAACATATCGAAAATTCACACTCTGATGCCTATGTCTGTTGCATCTGCCTAGTCAATTTCATTTACTCTTTCCATTTATTCATGTCAGCATTCATCAATTTGTTTGTGTCACGTGGGTTGCAATATCTTCTCGTGAGTGTATCTCGACTATCCGTAATATTGTGATATATATATTTAGTCAACACATTTTGATGGAACAGACGTTGATACTACATTCATTGGGATGAGAGAACATTTTGACTTATTTTCAATATGATAAAATTATCTATGTATATGTTGAAAGATGAGCACAAAAGTTCATCCTTGGTGTTTTCATGTTATCCGTTGTATATTTGTAATTGCATGGTGATGCTTGTTTACTGAAACGTTCACCAGCAGTACAGCTGTTTTCACCCAAATTAACTTCGTTATTAATAAATTCATATCACAGTTCTCACACCGTGTGGAAGGCACTGTAATGTAAATTCCACTGGCCTACTCTTTCGGTGGTTATTTTGGAGCCACAATGCAGTAATTAAATGATTTTGCAGCTGGAAAATTGGAAACTTACTTCGAAAGCAATCTTCGATACAAATAACGGATTGATTTGAAAATACAAAAAGTCCATTTAATATAGATAATCTTCATGAAAATACGAAATCATTCGCAAACTAACGAAAAACTTGCCAAATCATTAACCCTCTCTCTCTCAGATCATAGGCATAGAGCGAATATCACTTCTTCACAATACTAGTTTGTGTCAGTGCACAATGTTGTCATAATGTGTTGCTCCTATCAAGATCAGTTGTGTACACGTATTGAATTTCATTCACGAATGATGAAGCGAAACATTCTATTCAGAAACCATTTCCGTCCTCAGAGTCAGTGTGATGATTGCGTGTATTTGTCATTAGCAGGGTTGCCTACAGTCATCAGGTGTTATCAACTGTAACTTTGTAAAGATCATTTTATTCAGATTCTTTCACACACCAATTGGCATGCGCTATATTTTCTACTGGAACCAATCTCCTCCAGGATAATCACAGCCAGGTTTAGCTGAAAAGGAAGGAAGTTTACAATCATTCAGTGCTACGCGCCTACAAACGTCTCAGAACAAGAGAAGAAGGAGGATTTCTACAGTCAACTACAAACAGTAATGGACAACGTCCCAAAGAGCGATATCAAAATCCTGATGAGCGACATGAATGCGAAACTGGGAGGAGACAATACAGGAAGAGAACTCACCATGGGTCGTGAGGCCCTCGGTGAAATGAACGAAAATGGTGAACTCTACTCAGACTTCTGCGCCTTCAATGATTTGGTGATTGGTGGCAGTCTGTTCAAACACAGGGATATACACAAGGCAACATGGATTTCACCAGATGGACACACCGGAAACCAGATAGACTTCATTTCAATCTGAAGGAAGTGGAGACGGAGCCTACTGGACACAAGATCGAGGAGAGGAGCAGATGTGGGTTCAGACCACTATCTAGTACAAGGGACATTCAAGGTGAAGCAAAAGCCTCGAGTATAGCTGGGGATAGGTCACAATGCAAGTTCAACACGCAAAAACTGAAAGACACAACCACAAAGGACACTTTCACTGCAAATGTCAGAGCAAAGCAGGAAACACTACGTGGCACCACTGAGAAATCATCCGTGGAAGACCATTGGAACTCTCTGAAGGTGATTTTCAACAAAACGTGCTCAACGGTTTTAGGAAGAAAGAAGAGACAAGACAAGGAATGGCTCTCAACAGACACTTGGAAGCTAATACAGGAGAGGAGAATGGTGAAATAGAAAATGATTCAATGCAATGATGGACAAGAGAAAGAGACGCTGAACTCAACTTACACAGCACTGGACAAAGAAGTGAAGAAGAGTGCCAGGAAGGACAAAAGACAATTCTACGACAACCTGGCCAACGAAGCTTAGAAGGCAGCAGGCAAAAGGGACCTGAGGAGACTATATCAGATAACCAAGTCTCTATCCGGGAAGAGATCGACACAAGTGAAACCTATAAAAGACAACCAAGGGAACCCAATTACCAAGTAAGAAAGACAGATTAAACAATGGGCGGACCACTTCAAAGGACTCTTGAATCGACCACCACCTACAACCCGCCCAGAAATACTAACAACAGCACGCACACAACTGCAAGTTGACACCAATCCTCCAAGGAAAGCTGAAGTCTTGAATGCAATCAAGCTTCTGAAAGCTGGAAAAGCAGCTGGAACAGATGGAATACCCCCAGAAGCACTGAAAGCGGACCCAGAAACGACAGCAGATATTCTGACTCCATTATTGCAAAAGATCTGGAAAGAGGGAAAGGTGCCTACTGACTGGAGGAGAGGTTAACTCGTGAAACTACCAAAGAAGGGCGACCTGGGACTCTGCAAGAACTGGCGAGGAATCATGCTCCTGTCGACGCCAAGTAAAATCCTGAGTCGCATCATCCTGGAGAGAATAAAGGACGCACTGGATACAGAACTTCGCCAACCAGAACGAGCTGGGTTCAGGAAAGGCAAATCATGTTCTGACCAAATTTCAAACCTAAGCATCATTATCGAACAAAGCAAGGAATGGCAATCAAACCTCTACCCCAACTTTATAGACTTCGAGAAGACCTTCGACAGCGTTGACCACGAAATAATTTGGAAACTAATCAAGTACTATGGCATACTCCAAATATTCATCAAAATTATTCAACAGCTGTATGACAACGGCACATGTCTAGTGATCCACAACGGAAAACTCAGCGAAGCGTGTGGAGTAAACACAGGAGTCAGACAAGGGTGCTTATTCTCACCAATTATATTCCTAATTGTGGTGGACTGGATTATGCATCAGACAGTGGGAAACGAGAAGACAGGGATATCCTGGACCGACGTGAAGAATCTAGAAGACCTGGATTTTGCGGATGATTTGTGTTTGATGTCACACAAAATCGAAGACTTACAAGCGAAAACCGACAGACTGGTCGAAGAAGCAGCCAGAGAAGACAGGACTCCAGGTGAACATAGACAAGACGGAGGTCATGAAAATAACCAACCAGCAACAGCAACATCCAGTGCCAATCACCACCAACGGGAGGCATTTGAAAGAGGTTACTTCATTCACTTATCTAAGGAGCATATTCTCAACTACAGGAGGAACCGACGAGGATGTCAAATCGAGAATCGAGAAGGTGAGAAACACATTCATCAACCTGAAAACAATCTGGAAATCTTCGTCACTCAACATCAACAACAAAGTGATTCGGATTTTCAATACAAACGTCAAGTCAGTCAGTTCTTCTTTACGGGTCAGAAACTTAGCGGGTCACAAAGAATATTTTCAACAGGTTGCAGACCTTTATCAACAACTGTCTTCGCTCCATACTGAAGATGAGATGGCCGGAAAGAATCACAAACAAGAAGCTATGAGAACAAACGAAACAGGAACCAATCGCCCAGCAAATATGCAGGAGAAAGTGGAGATGGATTGCAGACTTGCTGAGGAGGCCACCGGGTGACATCGCGCGTCAGGCCGGTGCTCGTGTGGAACTCGGAAGGGAAGCGGCGAGTGGACGTCCAAGGGTGACATGGAGGTTATCGTGTGAGGAGGAGAGGAAACAGTATGGAATAACATGGATGCAAGTGAAGAGTACAGCACAAGACAGAAGGAAGTGGAGACGTGCAGTTGAAGCCCTATGTTCCACTAGGAACCCAAGGGAACAATAATAATAATATTTTCTACTCCTGATGTTGCTAGTTCACAGTAGTTTTTGTTTGAACGTAACGCATTTCAGTGACCAATTGGAAACAAGTAATCTTAACAAATTTACGTGGTTCCGGTTTAGCTGATTCTGAAATGATTAAGAGATAAAGACTTAAAATTAAAGGCAAATCAGATGGTAAAAGAAGCAGAAAAATTTAGTAGGATAAAAAACAATTGCAAGTTCATTCCCTCTCGCTCAGATCATAGGCATACAGCGAATATCACTTCTTCACAATACTAGTTTGTGTCAGTGCACAATGTTTTCACAATGTGTTGTGCCTATCCAGATCAGTTGTGTACACGTAGTGAATTCCATTCACGAATGATGAAGCGAAACATTCTGTTCAGAAACCATTTCCGTCCTCAGAGTCAGTGTGATGATTGCGTGTATTTGTCATTAGCAGGGTTGCCTACAGTCATCAGGTGTTATCAACTGTAACTTTGTAAAGATTATTTTATTCAGATTCTTTCACACACCAATTGGCATGCGCTATATTTTCTACTCCTGATGTTGCTAATTCACAGTAGGTTTGTTTGAACGTAACGCATTTCAGTGACCAATTGGAAACAAGTAATCTTAACAAATTTACGTGGTTCCGGTTTAGCTGATTCTGAAATGATTAAGAGATAAAGACTTAAAATTAAAGGCAAATCAGATGGTAAAAGAAGCAGAAAAATTTAGTAGGATAAAAAACAATTGCAAGTTCATTCTCTCTATCTCAGATCATAGGCATACAGCGAATATCACTTCTTCACAATACTAGTTTGTGTCAGTGCACAATGTTTTCACAATGTGTTGCGCCTATCAAGATCAGTTGTGTACACGTAGTGAATTCCATTCACGAATGATGAAGCGAAACATTCTGTTCAGAAACCATTTCCATCCTCAGAGTCTATGTGATGATTGCATCTATTTGTGATTGGCGTGATTGTCTACTGTCATGGTGGACGAGAGATTGAAGACGAAAGAAGACAGAAACTTCTATTCTCGACTGCACGAGGTGACGTCTGAGTTTGAGAAGGACACGACAACCTAGTAATGATTACAACCATGTGTGACAGTATGCTGACTGTGCAGTGCAACACTGGTTTAAGCTCACACTATGTGGCTGGTTCATTTGAATTCCCGTCTCCACCGAACTGACTTCCACACATCACCTGCATTTCAACCTACTGAGAGATCATGTGTTCCCTCATGGCCACTGAGACTTACGCCTACCTGAACTATTTAGAAAGGCACAGTTCGAATTTACTCAGCATGTTCCGAATGTTATTTCACACCTTATCTCTATCCTCATATTCAACATATCGAAAATTCACACTCTGATGCCTATGTCTGTTGCATCTGCCTAGTTAATTTCATTTACTCTTTCCATTTATTCATGTCAGCATTCATCAATTTGTTTGTGTCACGTGGGTTGAAACATTTTCTCGTGAGTGTATCTCGACTATCCGTAATATTGTGATATATATATTTAGTCAACACATTTTGATGGAACAGACGTTGATACTACATTCATTGGGATGAGAGAACATTTTGACTTATTTTCAATATGACAAAATTACCTATGTATATGTTGAAAGATGAGCACAAAAGTTCATCCTTGGTGTTTTCATGTTATCAGGTGTGTATTTTTTAATTGCATTTTGATATTTGTTCAGTGAACCTTTCACCAGTTCATTTTGTTGCTCTTTATCCACATTATCTTTGATGATGTCACATTATTCAGAGCTGCGCTCACAAAATATGTGGCACGCACTTTAGCGTCAACACTCAATGATCCCAATTGACAGAAATTATTGGGTGAACCGATTGGAGCATAATTTCAATTTAATACTTTTATCAAATATATACTTACGTCCAGCGCAGCCTTCATGTTTCATTGAAAGAAAAATAATCATTGAGTAAAATTATATAAGAATAAATTCATGAATGCACGAAATCAATCACAAGCTAACGAAAAACTTGCCAGGTCATTAACACACTCTCTCTCAGATCATAGGCACACAGACAATATCACTTCTTCACAATACTAGTGTGTGTCAGTGCACAATGTTATCATAATGTGTTGTGCCTATCCAGATCAGTTGTGTACACGCAGTGAATTTCATTCACGAATGGTGAAGCGAAACATTCTGTTCAGAAACCACTTCCATCCTCAGAGTCCATGTGATGATCGTATCTATTTGAGAGTGGCTTGATAGAACAGACGTTGATACGACATTCATTGGGATAAGAGAACATTTTGACTTATTTTTAATATGGTAAATTTATCTATGTATATGTTGAAAGATGAGCACAAAAGTTCATCCTTGGTGATTTCATGTTATCAGGTGTATATTTGTGATCGCGTGGCGATACTTGTTTACTGAAACTTTCACCAGTAATTTATCGGTTTTTGTCAATAGTAACATTTTAAGAAACTAATTATTGTGATCTTTGCTCAAGCGCTTTGGGGAATTCGCTTTATTGTAATCTCGTAGTGATGCTACTTGTAAGAACATGTTGTGAAAACGAAATGAAATATCATTAAAACTTCATAATAATAAATTCATCATTTACTCTCTCGGCACTCTAGATATATTTTTATGAGAAATGCAAAAAAATTTAATAAATAATACTATCTTGGATTGAATTCATTAAAATACGAAATCATTCACAAGCTAACGAAGAACTTGCCAGTTCATTCTTTCTCTCTATCTCAAATCATAGGCATACAGCGAATATCACTTCTTCACAATACTAGTTTGTGTCAGTGCACAATGTTTTCACAATGTGTTGTGCCTATCTAGATCAGTTGTGTACACGTAGTGAATTTCATTCACGAATGATGAAGCGAAACATTCTACTCAGAAACCAGTACCATCCTCAGAGTCCATGTGATGATCATATCTATTTGAGACTGGCTTGATAGAACAGATGTTGATACTACATTCATTGGGATGAAAGCACATTTTGACTTATTTTTCAATCTGATAAAATTATCTATGTATATGTTGAAAGATGAGCACAAAAGTTCATCCTTGGTGTTTTCATGTTATCAGGTGTATATTTGTGATTGCGTGGGTATACTTGTTTACTGAAACATTCTTCAGCAGTTAATCGGTTGTTATCCACAATAATTTGTGCACAAATATTCAGATGCCCGCTCACACGCGATGTGTCAATCGACATAATGTGGAATCCTGATGATCCTACTTTTCGAAAAATTGTGTGAAATCGTATTGCAATCTAATTATAACTTCGAACTAAATATAAATATACACTTACGTCTCCTGCAGGCTTGATATTTTCATTGAAGAAACAGAAGTTCATTGATTTGAATAACATTTGAATCAAATCATGGAAATACGGAATCATTCAAAAGCTAACGAAAAACTTGCCAGTTCATTCTCTATCTCTATCTCAGATCATAGGCATACAGCGAATATCATTTCTTCACAATACTAGTTTGTGTCAGTGCACAATGTTATCATAATATGTTGTGCCTATCCAGATCAGTTGTGTACACGTAGTGAATTTCATTCAGGAATGATGAAGCGAAACATTCTGTTCGGAAACCACTTTCGTCCTCAGAGACTTTATGATGACTACTAGCATTTGTCAATTGCGTGATTGTCTACTGTCATGATGGACGAGAGATTGAAGAAGAAAGAAGACAGAAACTTCTATTCTCGACTGCACGAGGTGACGTCTGGGTTTGAGAAGGACACGACAACCTAGTAGTGATTACAACCATGTGTGACAGTATGCTGACTGTGCAGTGCAACACTGGTTTGTGCTCACACTATGTGGCTGGTTCATTTGAATTCCCGTCTCCACCGAACTGACTTCCACACATCACCTGCATTTCAACCTACTGAGAGATCATGTGTTCCCTCATGGCCACTGAGACTTACGCCTACCTGAACTATTTAGAAAGGCACAGTTCGAATTTACTCAGCATGTTCCGAATGTTATTTCACACCTTATCTCTATCCTCATATTCAACATATTGAAAATTCACACTCTGATGCCTATGTCTGTTGCATCAGCCTAGTTAATTTCATTTACTCTTTCCATTTATTCATGTCAGCATTCATCAATTTGTTTGTGTCACGTGGGTTGAAACATTTTCTCGTGAGTGTATCTCGACTATCCGTAATATTGTGATATATATATTTAGTCAACACATTTTGATGGAACAGACGTTGATACTACATTCATTGGGATGAGAGAACATTTTGACTTATTTTCAATATGACAAAATTATCTATGTATATGTTGAAAGATGAGCACAAAAGTTCATCCTTGGTGTGTTCCTGTTATCAGGTGTATATTTGTAATTGCATGGTGATACTTTTAACTGAAACTTTCACCAGTAGTTTATCGGATGTTATCCACAAGAAGTTTTTAAAATAATTTTTTTATTGTTGTTTCTAGTACTTTCTTTCCACTTTTGATTTCTTTTTGGCATGATACATATATTTAATTTTATCTATTTCATCACTGTTTCAACTTACTTTTCTGGTTGCTTTCATTTTCTTTATCTTGTCAATGAAATTTTTTTGAAATTAATTACATGTTTTATATTCTTGGAATGATTGAATGATTTAGATTCTATCAATAAATTTCTGATTTGATACTTTCTGTGTGAGGACATAGGCATACGGCGAGTATCACTTCTTCCTAATACTAATTTGTGTCAGTGCACAACTTTTCATAATTTTCCGAATTGTTAATTGTATCAGTCTGTTCAGAAATCAATACCATTCATATACTCTTAGTAAGAGTTGCATCATTATGTATTTCTTATGATTGTCTATTTCCTTTTGCGTCTTATTATGAATCTTATTCTAAGATATTTTTGTTTATATACTTTTTGTTAATGATTTTTGATTTCCAAAATATACGTCTGTGTTCAGCACGGTGCCTTTTCTTTCCTCTCTTTCGCATATGATCCTCACTGCACTAATAATAAATATGAGTTAATTTTTTATTTGTTCACCCAACATTTTCATTTGTTTCATCATTTTTGCCTGTGAATTTATTTTCCCGCTGTTTGAGTATTCAATCTCCGAGGTTCATCCAAGTTCTCTGTGAAAATCTTTGAGTTGTTCAACTCGATATTATGTCACTTAGCATTGATGTGCTTTAGAGTTTTTCAAAATGCTGTAGAACTACATCACTTAAATATTTGCAACAACCTCGCCTAGATTACTAGGTCACTAGTATTCTAGCCCGTCCCAAGCCCGGATAAAGAGGGAGGGTTGGGGCGTGATGCTAGCAACTCCATCCACAAAACTTAACCAAATTTCTATAAAAACTTCAACACACAAACATATTCAAAATTCTAAAAGTACAAACAATGACCTTATTTTTCGCTGGAATCGGGGAAGTGAAATGAAGCAGGCTGGTGAAAGCCTTCGGGAAGCCAGTCAGCCGATGTGCCTTCTTTCGATGAAAGCAAAAGCAAGGATGGGGACGTGGAATATTCGTACAATGTACGGAACTGGAAAGGCTGCTCAGGTAGCCGAAGAAATGTGGAGATACAAAATAGAAGTATTGGGAATCTGCGAGAGCAGATGGAACGGATGTGGAAGGAGCCAACTAACAATTGGAGAGACAATAATCTACTCCGGTCACCCAGAGGACGATCACGAGCACACCGAGGGAGTGGCCATCATGATGTCACCAACAGCAGCTAAAGCTCACATGCAGTAGGAACCAAACTCCTCCAGGATAATCACAGCCAAGTTCAACTCAATAAGGAAGGAAGGTTACAATCATTCAATAGCACGTGCCTACAAACGTCTCAGAACAAGAGAAGAAGGAGGATTTCTACAGTCAACTACAAACAGTAATGGACAACGTCCCAAAGAGCGATATCAAAATCCTGGTGGGTGATATGAATGCGAAGCTGGGAGGAGACAATACAGGAAGAGAACTTACCATGGGTCGCGAGGCCCTCGGTGAAATGAACGACAATGGTGAACTGTTCTCAGACTTCTGCGCCTTCAATGATTTGGTGATTGGTGGCAGTCTGTTCAAACACAGGGATATACACAAGGCGACATGGATTTCACCAGATGGACACACCGGAAACCAGATAGACTTCATTTCAATCTCAAGGAAGTGGAGACGGAGCCTACTGGACACAAGATGGAGGAGAGGAGCAGATGTGGGTTCAGACCACTATCTAGTACAAGGGACATTCAAGGTGAAGCAAAAGCCTCGAGTATAGCTGGGGATAGGCCACAATGCAAGTTCAACACTCAAAAACTGAAGGACACAATCACACAGGACATTTTCACTGCAGCTGTTAGAGCGAAGCAGGAAACACTACGTGGCACCACTGAGGAATCATCCGTTGAAGACCATTGGAACTCTCTGAAGGTAATTTTCAACGAAACGTGCTCAACGGTTTTAGGAAGAAAGAAGAGACAAGACAAGGAATGGCTCTCAACAGACACTTGGAAGCTAATAGAGGAGAGGAGAATGGTGAAATAGAAAATGATTCAATGCAATGATGGACCAGAGAAGGACACACTGAGTTCAACTTACACAGCACTGGACAAAGAAGTGAAGAAGAGTGCCAGGAAGGACAAAAGACAATTCTACGACAACCTGGCCAACGAAGCTTAGAAGGCAGCAGGCAAAAGGGACCTGAGGAGACTATATCAGATAACCAAGTCTCTATCCGGGAAGAGATCGACACAAGTGAAACCTATAAAAGACAACCAAGGGAACCCAATTACCAAGTAAGAAAGACAGATTAAACAATGGGCGGACCACTTCAAAGGACTCTTGAATCGACCACCACCTACAACCCGCCCAGAAATACTAACAACAGCACGCACACAACTGCAAGTTGACACCAATCCTCCAACGAAAGCTGAAGTCTTGAATGCAATCAAGCTTCTGAAAGCTGGAAAAGCAGCTGGACCAGATGGAATACCCCCGGAAGCACTGAAAGCGGACCCAGAAACGACAGCAGATATTCTGACTCCATTATTGCAAAAGATCTGGAAAGAGGGAAAGGTGCCTACTGACTGGAGGAAAGGTTAACTCGTGAAACTACCAAAGAAGGGCGACCTGGGACTCTGCAAGAACTGGCGAGGAATCATGCTCCTGTCGACGCCAAGTAAAATCCTGAGTCGCATCATCCTGGAGAGAATAAAGGACGCACTGGATACAGAACTCCACCAACCAGAACAAGCTGGGTTCAGGGAAGGCAAATTATGTTCTGACCAAATTTCAAACCTAAGCATCATTATCGAACAATGCATGGAATGGCAATCAAATCTCTACCCCAACTTTATAGACTTCGAGAAGACCTTCGGCAGCGTTGACCACGAAATAATTTGGAAACTAATCAAGTACTATGGCATACTCCAAATATTCATCAAAATTATTCAACAGCTGTATGACAACGGCACATGTCTAGTGATCCACAACGGAAAACTCAGCGAAGCGTTTGGAGTAAACACAGGAGTCAGACAAGGGTGCTTATTATCACCAATTATATTCCTAATTGTGGTGGACTGGATTATGCATCAGACAGTGGGAAACGAGAAGACAGGGATATCCTGGACCGACGTGAAGAATCTAGAAGACCTGGATTTTGCGGATGATTTGTGTTTGATGTCACACAAAATCGAAGACTTACAAGCGAAAACCGACAGACTGGTCGAAGAAGCAGCCAGAGAAGACAGGACTCCAGGTGAACATAGACAAGACGGAGGTCATGAAAATAACCAACCAGCAACAGCAACATCCAGTGCCAATCACCACCAACGGGAGGCATTTGAAAGAGGTTACTTCATTCACTTATCTAAGGAGCATATTCTCAACTACAGGAGGAACCGACGAGGATGTCAAATCGAGAATCGAGAAGGCGAGAAACACATTCATCAACCTGAAAACAATCTGGAAATCTTCGTCACTCAACATCAACAACAAAGTGATTCGGATTTTCAATACAAACGTCAAGTCAGTCAGTTCTTCTATACGGATCAGAAACTTGGTCGCGGGTCACAAAGAATATTTCCAACAGCCTGTTGCAGACCTTTATCAACAACTGTCTTCGTTCTATACTCAACATCAGATGGCCGGAAAGAATCACCAACAAGAAACTATGGGAACGAACAAAACAAGAACCAATCGCTCAACAAATATGCAGGAGAAAGTGGAGATGGATTGCAGACTTGCTGAGGAGGCCGCTGGGTGTATCGCGCGTCAGGCCAGTGCTTTAGTGGAACCCGGAAGGGAAGCGGCGAGTGGGACGTTCAAGGATGACATGCAGGAGATCGTGTGAAGAGGAGCTGAAACAGTATGGACTAACATGGATGCAAGTGAAAAGTACAGCAGAACACAGAAGCAAGTGGAGGCGTGCAGTTGAAGCCCTATGTTCCACTAGGAACCCAAGGGTACAATAATAATATAATGAATATTTGCAACAATGTTTGTATTTTATTCTATGTAGAATCGTGTTCTCATAGTGACAAAATTAAGTTAAGGTTTCCAATTTATTGAGGCCAGTTCGGTTATTCACATAACTTATATTTCTGCTGAATTGCACTATTCGCTCAGCTTTACGTGTGGTTTGTGCGGATTTCATATATGCGATGGTTTGAACACCCGGTAATACATTTCATACTATTCTATCAAATGCGTGAATTTACAGCTGCATGTGATTCGAGAGGGACGGATGAAAACAGGTGTGATATTCTCTAATGTCTGTTGTTCAGAATTGGAGAATGATATCTAATTTCAGCAGTGATGCTTTTCACTGAAAGTGTTTTGCTCATTCAACCCATACAGAGTGATAGTCTTTAGTTTACTGTTGCATCGCTATCCTTAAGCTGGACGACGGGAGTTTAGCATTTCATTTGACTAAATGTTAAGACTAATAAAGTCCGTAGTGACCATAAATCTACCCACTGTCATTAACAAATCAGTTATATTCCTAAGGCCAAACGTTTACAGCCATAAATAATTTGCTGGAATGAAAGTCACTACAAATCTGCATTAAAAGGTTTACCATTATCATAGAAATGTGTAGAGTTGTTCTCGTTTATTTCTTACTAAATCAAATATTAGAAGGACTAAAATCACACTAGCATGAACAGTGTTATTCCATTATGGGTAAAGTTTGTTTTGATAAAGTCTCACAGTGTTGTTACACAGTAATGTTTACTGATGACCACGTTTCGAGCAAAATTTATTGCTCATAATCATATCAAGGTAATTACACGACTTCCTAAATTCATTTATATAGTTCCATTGTTTTCCACTTGATTTGATTGGTAGTAATATTTTCCTATTGCATGTGTTGGGTGTAGATTCGATGAACAAGGATTCAGTAATCAACCTCTCTCCACCTACCTAGATTACTTTTTAGAATTTCAACCCTCTCCCACCCTATTGTGTGGTTGTATGCTAATGCATGCGTTTCGATTCCTGAACTTTTTTCTAAATTACTTATCTTCTCTGGGTCAACCATTCTTACCTTAGCTAAATTCTTATGTTCTGACAATCTGACTACCCCTGACCTACTAGTTTGACCTATGTAGTTGACCTAACTCACAGTCATTGCAGGGTATTTTGTAAATTATATTATTTTGTCTAATTGGGTCCACTGGGTCCTTTAACGTACAGAGCTTGTCCCTGAGTGAGTTTGTAGGTTTAAATGCCACCCTAATTCCTGCTTTATTTAGAATCCTACGTAGGGTCTCAGATGTCCCCTCTTCATATGGTATAACTGTAGATGACTTATATTCTCTCTTATTTATGTTACTATTATTAGTTTCACTAGTTAAAATTCTAAAAAGTAATCTAGGTAGGTGGAGAGAGAGGTTGATTACTGAATCCTTGTTCATCGAATCTACACCCAACACATGCAATAGGAAAATATTACTACCAATCAAATCAAGTAAAAAACAATGGAACTACATAAATGAATTTAGGAAGTCGGGTGATTACCTTGATATGATTATGAGCAATAAATTGTGCTCGAAACGTGGTCATCAGTAAACATTACTATATAACAAAACTGTGAGACTTTATCAAAACAAAATTTACCCATAATGGAATTGCACTCAACCACAGTGCACAAGTTTTATTCTTATATCAATGAACAGTGTTATTTGTACACTCAAGAATAATACCTTCACCTAATTAGGGTGTTAGATTAGGCACCTAGCAATGATTTAGATGGTTTCAGTTGTAATTCCCTCCTCTTCACAATTTTAGTGGTTATGCTTATTGAAATATTACAGTATTTAATAGAGAATATATTGGCTAATGTGAAAATTATTTAATCAATCTCTGATCAATGCACATAGATAAATGTTCATGAGGTTTCGATTATTCAGTGGAATATTATAAGTTTGTCTTGAATTGTTTCCATCCAGGTATTCACAAGATCTACAATGTCTGCTGTTATCATAATCAACCAATTTCATAGAATAAATCAGAAGCACATATGTGCAAAGTCAAATTACACAGCTCTATATAACCACTATGTAAATCAGTTAAACTTTGACATCATTGTGGTTTCAGTAAAGTGATAATTAAATTTAAAATGTAATACGCCAATGAGAGAAAACTGCTTTCAGTATGTCAAAGTTTACTTGAAAGAATAATAATCACATAAAATTGTACTTACATGCTTCGCTTGGCTTGATGAATATTGTGAATGCTTGAACGATCAACAACAGTGCACAGAACTTCTTCATCATCATCATCTTCTTCTTCTTCTAGTTCTTTTCCGGGAATGTGTAAGCAAATAAAAAACAAGTCTTTATATAGTGTTTTAATACATTTGCCACGTGTAAGATCATTAAGATTTCTAAAACTAATTCCAAATATCACCTCATTTCTTTTTGAAAGAATGTGGCATGATAATAATAATAATATTATTATTATTATTCCAAACAGTATTTGTGGCACAGGCATGGAATTTTCAGCGTGCATTACAATATTGCATCTAATTACCTCATTAATTTTATAAGATTTTAAAAGTAAAAAGCAACAACAACAAAAAGAAAAATAAAAGAAATAAAAAAGAACAGTATTGCATTCACATATTCAAACAATGCATCACAGGATATGAAATATAAAATTAGTGTGTAATAGAATATGTGAGCAACAATATAATAGTAACAAAGAAAGAAGAACAAAAGCTAATGGGAAGTATTTGTTAGAGTGCCGCAGTAAGGTGATCGTGTCATGCCTAACAGTTTTCTCATCACATAACAGCTGTGCCAGGTAAGGTATTGTGGAGTTTTGTACTTGGTAGTCCTGGCATATAGCCTCCTATAGTTGCTTCTAGTTCTACCAGATGAAATGCAAGGAGAGAGCTGCGTATAGAGAGGGTGTTCGGGGTCTGACAATATAGAATTCGCTAGTTTCTTACATGACATTATATGTCTATCCACAATGGTGTTAACCAGTTGGTTTAACGAAATCCCACTTCCCCTACTAACAGCTTTTATTGCCCTACGCAGCGAAGCAGTCTTTCTTAAGTAGCCCAAGGTAGATTAATGGGGAGCAGAAAAGAGAGATGGGTAGAATACAAGAAATGAAAAACTGAGAAAGAAAAGACTGCTTTATACCAGACTACCTAAACTTCCTAACGTAGAACGTTAAGCGAAACATCTTTCTAGCCACTAGCAAGATGTGAGAGGACCAGGAAAGATTGGAGGAAATACTCAGTCCAAGGTACTTGACATTAGATGTAGTTTCAACCTCTATGCCGTCAATGATAGTGGGACCATGTGAGCTAGCTAGTTGTTGTAGGTCACGTTTTTGTCTTAAAGTGAAATTTACTACCTGACATTCAGACAGATTCAACTTAAGACCGTTTGAAGAGGACCACTGACTAATTTCCGAGAGAAAGTTATTTAATTTGGAACAGTCTGACTGAGAGTTGACAGGCATGGAGACAGAGAGGTCATCAGCATACTTGACAAAATTTGCTACATCAGAATGGAGCAAGTCATGTAAGAAAAAAGTAAACAGAAAACGAGAAAGAACAGCACCTTGAGGAACACCAGCTAAAGTAAGTGAGGTAGTGGAGGACTTTCCATTGTAGACAGTGTACTGCTTCCTATCAGAAAAGTAGGAATACAACCACTTATTTATCCAGCTCTCACTCTGTGTTGCAGCAAGCTTACTTAACAAGAAAGACCTAGGTACAGAATCAAATGCAGATGTGTAATCAAGGAAGGCACACCGAACATATTTGGCTCCTCTATCTAAACTAAAGACTATATTATGATATAGAACAACAACGGTATCTAAGGTACACCTACTATGTTTATAGGCAAACTGGTTGGGGTCATTAAAAGGCTTCAAAGAGGGTTCAAGATTAAGTAAAATAAGTCTTTCCATAACCTTTAAAAAAGGTGAGGTAATAGCAATCGGTCGAAACTTAACAGTAGGTCCACTTGTTGATTTAGTCACTGGAACAACCTTGATATTTTTCTATGAGTCAGGAATAATACTTTTGGAAAAAGATTCATTGAAAATGTCGGTTAATGGGTAACATAAGATGTCAGCACACTTCTTAAGGATAACAGCAGGAACTCCATCAGGACCAAGGGACTGGGTAGGCTTGAGAGATTGAAGACACTTAAGGACATCATTCGTGTTAAAACATGAGAAGCAGTCATTATTTATACTATTAGATTTGGGAATCATAACATCTGCAGGGATACATATGAAGGATTTATTAAGCATGTCAACATCAACGGAAGTATCATTCATTATTTGCTTACCACCTGTGATTTCCTTTAATAGCTTCCACATATTAGATGAGGATTTACATGAAAGAAACTTCTGGTTATAGAGAGCATTTAGTCTTTGTAATTCGGCTTTAATCAAAGTGTTCATTCTCTTAACACCTGATTTATTTCTCATTTTGTACAACCTCTCTTTTTCATGGCGAGGCTTTTTGAGTTGAGAAGAGGAGAAGCGGTCAAATTTTAAGAAGATTGTCTCTTTTGGACAACAAACATCAAGACAGAAATTGAGATAATGTGTTATGTTACTAATTGTGTTATCAAGAGCTTGTTCAGTAAACAGGTCCCAGTTTGTGTCTTTTAACATTGTCCTTAGATTTTGTATGTTGTCATGTGAATAACAAATATAATCAAATATCTGTTCATGGTGTACTTTGTTTACAAGGTCACCGGAATCGAAGAACACTAACTTAACAAAGAATAGATGAGGTGATTCCAATCACTGTACATATGGAATTTTACATAACGGCATATAGATTATTTTCGATGATTTGCACATAACGAAATATCACTCTCAACACGGAAACGCTGAAGCGTAATAGATTCGTTAAGGAACAGTTAAGCAGCATATCAATTTCTCAAATGATCTATAGAATGGATACTATTATAAGGTTTGCAATTTGAAACACTCAGGGTTTTATTTGGACAAGATTCTTTTCTTTTCTACAAACGACAGATCTCTTCATCAATGCTTGAATATATTATCATGAATAATTATTGGGTTTTACGTCTTATCTCTCATTGAAAGCAAACAAAATTACGACTGTATAACTTCGCTCATTGCCATTCACTAGGAAAACAATTTACAAATCTCATTTTATTGAGACTTAATTCAGGCAAATCACCCCTAAACACCAAGTTTCTGGTGAAGACATTCACTAGAAATTTCGAAATATATTTCCTTACCAATTTTCATCAAAGAGATCCTCAATGATAGGCGAACATTCACGTCAAATATGAGTAGTTCAGGAAGAGATGTAAACCACCGATTACACTAACCAGTTGTCATTCTCTAACATCATTTGTAAACAAAGTGTAGCCATAATAGATGACCTGAATATACATGTTCAGTGCATGAACGTGTAAAATACGTCATGGTCCTATAGTTTAACCGTAGAATAATCGTCTCGCTAATGCCTGGTAATGAATCCATCATATCTGGTTAACTAAGTCGACTTGCTGATGAGAGACAGATATTGACTGCTACTTCAAAATGTCTGATCAAGCTCTAACACACCTGAATAACAATGATTTTTGTGACAAAAGTGAATCGACAAAATTATTTTGAGACTTCAGCCACTCAGAATAATTATTCGACATAAACTTATCTTTAAGACATAATACATAAACACCGACTGGCAATCACTAAGATGCTTCTGACGATTAAGCATTAGACTGCCGATTAAATCAACTGTCCATGGAGTCCTCATAGCAAATGGTGGCAAGGAAAAGTTTAGATCTCCATGCCAGGTTATTCACGAAAATAGAGCTGAAAAGCTCAAGCCTACTTAAGCTTTGATTTCTCGATTAATTATTGAGACGTGCATAATAATTCTCTTGAAGAACGTCCAGCATTATAGAAGAAGAAGTGACTGGGTCGATTCGATTCACCTAGATATACAAATGACAATCACGTATATAAAAACAAATGTTTAGCTGAGTCACTCAGCAGAAGCCCTTGTCTGGTTATGACAGTCATCAACAACCCTGTGAAGACGCAGGTACATTTGTTGAATGACACCTAGATCGGTGAATGTCGAGGTGAGTGTGTTTGACACGAAGGTGTGCAATGAGCCAAATAAGCAAAGTGTTAGGATGAATATTTGAGAATTGTGCTATTATGAAAAATCAATTGACTAAACACAGATTTCCGATCGCTTGATAATCCATGAGTTTAATTCAAAAAGGGATACGATGCAGACACATAACACAGGTTTCAGACTGTATAATTTCGCGTTGAATTGTGAGCTTGAATTCGACTCAGTTATATATCCTGTGAAAATAATTTCTCGAAAACAAACACAAAAAACTGAAACAGAACGATTCACAGATTCTTGCTATACCAGAAAAGAGGATAACTGATAGAATCGACTGCAAGACAGACAGTCTGTTTACTCAACTCAAATAATCCTCAAGGTTAAATTACTCGATTTAGAGTTGTGTAGACATGATATTAACCGTAACCTTAGTGCTATTCAGATAGCTGCTTATGTAGTTTCATGATATTCACGTTTCCTGCAGACGTTGAGATGTCTGCCAATTCCTCGTATTTCCTTCAAATTTCGTTCTTGTCATCCTCGGAGTCTGTATCCTTTCACTCACTGGTACCGATAGTGTCGCCATCGAGTAACATATATTCCACTATGTGGTCTGTATGCTTATTTAGATTTATGACCCTCTGTCACTATCCTATTTGCATATTCGTAAAACGTCAAACGAATCTGACTTCACTCTTGAACTCTCGAATTACCTAGTGTCTAGATAATTCTTGTACCGCCTGACTGTCTTGATAATCTAGATTCTGTGCATCTCCTTTGTCTGTGTTTGTGATTACTATAGATTCTGTGCACTCAGCTATCCTGAATCTCATTCTGCTAAGTGACAGAACATGCTTGTTGAATTCATCTGAAAAATGATGAGTTAATTAATTTGCACTACGTGTGGGATTACAGTATACATTGGAAGCCCTTATATCCGTCGATTTCACGATCACTACGTGACTGTGCACCACAACGTAGTGCGTAAGAGACGGATGTGATGGAATTACTCATCAGTAAGAATTGCATTATTTTCCACATTTTTTAATCTGTAATTGTAATACACACACCATGGTATAATAAGATTTTGGCAAATTAATTAACCTTATACATAAAATAAAGCAAACAAAATGACGCCGCGAAGTACTCTTTTATGTTCTTAGATTAATATGTAATGAGTTTCAT